ATTGATCGGAAGTGCCATAACTTTGGTGTTTGTAAAGTTAGGAAGTTAGGATTTTCTATGGGTTCTATTTTTGGCCAATCAATCCGACCTACCAAATTTCATAAGGATCGGCCGACTATATCTTATAGCTGCCATATAACTGAACGATTGGAAATGACATAACTTTGGTGTTTTTAAAGTTGGGAAGTTGGGACTTTTTATGAGTATTAAGAATGCATCATATGAATAATTTGGGAGAATATAATTTATAGAATATTCTGCAAGGGTATATCAACTTCGGCTCCACCCGAAGTTAGCTTTCCTTTCTTGTTTAAAATGGAAACATAATTTCTAGGATATGTAGTATCACAAAAGTTATGGCATATCCGATCAATCAGTTATATGGCAGCTATAGGATATAGTCGGCCGATCCTTATGAAATTTGGTAGGTCGGACTGATTGGCCAAATATAAAAGCCATAGAAAATCCCAGCTTCCTAACTTTACAAACACCAAAATTATGGCATTTCCGATCAATCAGTTATATGGCAGCTATAGGATATAGTCGGCCGATCCCGGCCGTTCTGACATATATATTGCGTGCAAAGGAAAGAAGGGTGTGTGCAAAGTTTGAACTCGATAGCTTTAAAACTGAGAGACTAGTTTGCGTAGAAACAGACAGACGGACATGGCTATATCAACTCAGGAGGTGATCCTGATCAAGAATATATATACTTTATAGGGTCGGAGATGTCTCCTTCACTGCGTTGCACACTTTTGACCAAAATTATAATACCCTCTGCAAGGGTATAAAAATTGCTCATTGGACCCCAAAATATTACGTCATTTTCGCTGATGAGTAAAAATTTTATATTTTTGGGTCCGAAGGACGTTCTTACGTATTGCGTAAAGCCAATACAGAGCTGCAGGACAAACATCTAAAACCCACCGTTAAGCATGACGGCGTACACGTTATGGTTTGGGCCTGTAAGTCCGCAGCAGGAGTCGGAAACCTTAAATTTATTGAAAACACAATAGATAAAAATGTTTATCTCAATATCCTTAAGGATAATTTACTCCAAAGTGCTGAGAAATTGGGAAAAAAAACAGGGTTCTACCAAGACAATGACCCAAAGCAAAAGTCGAGTATAGTTCAATATGGGCTGGGTTATAATTGCCCCCATATAATGAAATCGCCAGCTCAGTCACCCGATTTTAATGTTATTGAGAAATTTGTGGGCTTTGCTGGACTCAAAAATTCGGGAGCGCAATATTTCCAATAAAAATGACTTGAAGACGGCTTTGCTCTAAGAATGGTCTAAAATCACCCCAGAAACCACAAAAAAAATTGGTCGAATCTATTCCCAATCGACTGAAGTCGGTTGTGGACCAAAAGAGCGGACATACCAAATACTAAAAGTTAAAAAAATATTTTTTTTGCAATTTTTTATAATTAATTTGATTAACTGGGTCAAATAAGCTGTGACGTTGAATAAGGCAGTATTTATAGTTTTTATTGTTTAATTAAGAAGTTCCTTGATATAATAAATAATTGAAAAAATATTTTTTAAGTTAAAACAACAGTTAACCTTTCTGCGTTTTATTTAATGGGTATCTCTTATGGTTCAGGAGTTTTACCTGTTTAATGTTGAAAAATAGGTGTGGGTCAAATAAGCTGTGAGCCACTGTATCTATACATATATATATGAAAAGAGGAGGCGACTGAGCGGTCGCGCATGCCAGACATGCCGTCTCAGCACTGTCCAGGAACATAGAAGCGGGCGTTCCACAAGGTAGTGTGCTTGGCCCTACATTGTATACACTATTATCTGACGACATGCCAAACCACTCGTCAATCACAGCACTTGCAGGAAGGGATACGCTGGTTGCAACCTACGCTGACGATACCGCGGTGCTCACCAGAAACAGCTCCATAGACCTGGCAAAAATAGGTCTCCAAGAATATCTAGATGCATTTCAGATAAATGCGCAAACGTGACCTTCGCAAATCGGGCGCTAAACTGCCCGAGTGTGACGCTTAATGGTAGAGTGTTAACTCACTCAACATCACACAAATATCTAGGAGTCATTCTAGACAGAAAGCTCAAACTCGAAAGCAATGTCAAGTCGCTGCTGCATTCTTATAGAACTAAGTTAAATCGCATGTCCTGGCTACTCTCCGCTAAAAACAAGCTTTCGCTGGACAACAAGGTTCGAATTTTCAACTGCATTCCAGCTCCGAACTTTTTCTACGCAATACAGGTGTACGGTATCACAGCTAAAACCCACCTCAACAAAATACGGGTACTTCAAGCCAAGACGCTGAGGAGGATCTCAGGAGCTCCATGGTACATAAGAACGGCGGACATCGAGCCCGACTTCAAAGTACCAAAAATTGGGGATAAAATTCGGCCGATTGCACAAACATACACGGAGAGGCTTGGAGGTCATCCTAACAGCCCAGCTAGGCGACTAACGCCGAGTCATCGCACTACGGTCAGGAGAATACTGAAACGCCATCATCCTCAAGACCTGCTGGCTCGGGTCTTGACCTAATGATTACCAGCAATGCTAAACTTAAATTTCTCGCATTTCCATAGCCTCAATGTATATAATTTTTCTATAATTTATATTTATTATGTGCTGCTGACATAACTAATTTTTCTGTATATTATTTCTGATTTGCTTAAGTTGTAGGTAACAGTGCACCTATCTTTGTTACCATTTCGTTATTATTTCACAATAAATTATTATTTCACAATTACGCATTATGCCTCGGAACCCATTTGTTTTGGTATATTAATAAGTATGCTGTCATCATACTGTTGTTTTTATTAGTGGTTGCACCTGCTATTAAAAACTTTTCCCTGAGTGATTTATTGATGGGCACTTACAGTCAACACAATATTTATTCGGACACCCGTGATTTTGATTTTGATTCATTAATAACTCAACAAAAACGTAATGAAAACAAACAATTTATATTTCATCGTGAAGGTTAACATTCTTAGAATATATTTTAACAAAAAAATAAGGAACTTTCAACAGTAAAATTAGATATTTTCTTAAATTAACTTGAAAAGTCATAATTTTACGCACAGAAATTATTCGGACACTTCATATAATATTAAAAAAAACATATTTCTTGATGTTTTAATATTTTTAATATTTGGTGGGTCCTCCACTAACATCAATGACAGCTTGTAAGCGTCGACCCATGCTTTTTACCAAGTTGCTTGTCTCATTAGCGCTAATTTGACCCCATTCAGCCATCAATGCAGTTTTTAAGGACTCCCTGGACGAAATGACGTGCTTCCGAATCCTTTTCTCAAGAATATCTCAAACATGTTCTATGGGACTTAAATTAGGTGACTGGGGAGGTGTTTTCAGCTGCTTGCAGTGATATAAAAGCCACTCTTGCACCAAAGACGAAGAATGTTGTCTTGTTGAAACAACAATGTCTTCGGATCTAGACCAAGTTTTATATCACTTGGAATCAAATTTTCGCTTAAAATGTTTTTGTAGATATTCTTATTAATTTTGTCGTCAATAAAGACCATTTGACCGACTTCTTCTACCGATACACACCCCCAAATCATTACATTCCCGCCACCATGCTAAACAGTTGGAATTAAGTTCTTCTCATTCATGGCTTCATTTGGTTTCCTCCACACTTTCGAGGGCCCATAGTGTCCAAATATGTAAAATTTGGATTTGTCGCCTAAAACTACGTTCTCCCAAAACGAATCCGGGTGGTTATATGCAGTTTTCCAAACTCCAAATGCTTTTTTTTGTTGATGGCAGAAAATAATTGCTTTCGACGAGCAACTCTGCCATGTAAGCCAGCCTTGTACAGGTAGTTTCGGATGGTTGTGGCCCAAACTTTTTTTATTTTCGCTTGCTCTACATTCTTTTGAATTGTTGTAGATGTTGTTTTCGGATTTTTCAGGACTGTAGACATAAATTTCCGTCCCTCACGTGAGTACAGAATCTTAGACCTTCTAGCTTTCTTGTGATTTGAAGCTCATTATTCCGTTTTTAAGTATTTTTGGATTATACTATGTATTGTGGAAGGTGATTTTTCCATTAATACGACCGATTTCGCGATAACTACGATTTTCCAAAAATGAATTTAAGATAGGTTTTCGAAAATCTAGTGACAAATCTTGAACTCCTTTCATCACCAATCGTATCAAAAAAACACATAAAAACTAACAAAAAAAAAAAAAAAAGCACGCCGAAAATTACTCCGAAGTAATTTCAACTAAACTACTTTAAAAAGAATCGCCTATTACCGTTGAGCTCAGAAATAAACACAATAAATGAGAAATGTACGAATAATTTTTGTGCAACATTTTAGCAACTTTTTGCTTTTCTTTTAATATTTTTAAGGCTAATTTAAAAAATTACATTTTTGTTTGTGTAATGTCTTCTGAAAATCACTGTTTCTATGATAAGTACAAAAAAACCTGCTAAAATTACGAAAATTCCGGCAAATAAGCTGTTAAACTTGATAATAGTCAGTGTCCGAATAAATTTTGTGCTGACTGTATGTTGTCCTGATAATTTCCTGTTTATGAAATAACGTTGAACGATACGGAAGCAGATATATATAGTGGTTAATTGTAAATAGTGAACAAAACTGCCCCTGAGTTTAACGTTTATTATATTCGTTAACAAATAGGGTCCAAGTTTTCTATTATGGCTATTAATTAAATTCACATCTATAAATCTTAAAAAATGTGGCCATATACATATAGGTACAGACTTTCGTCTTATTGGCAAGATACAGTGTCGTTATACATAGTAGAAATCGAACATTTAGGAAAGCTCGATATCATTTTTATTTTTAAAATATTTATGGTCCCTGCACGCTATCGTAGTCACGCTTGATGGCGTCTTCCCACAGATATCCATATACCATCTACCATCCGTTGAACGGATTGTCCATTGTGCAAGCAGCACAGAACAAAACAAAAAGTAATCATTTTTTAAAATTTTTTTTCTGATTGTTCCTTTGGCAGCTATATGATATAGTCGCCCGATCCGGCTCGTTCTGACTTATATACTACCTGCAATAGAAAGACAACATTTGGGAAAGTTTCAATCAGATAGCTTTAAAACTGAGGGACAAGTTTGCGTAGAAACGGACGGACCGACGAACGGACGGACAGACGGACAGGGCTACTCTCCTGTTTTTGGGTTGTCCTCTTAAGCCGAGAACAAAAGCTCTTTTTAGTGGCTGTGAGAGCGATATTTGTATTTTATGCTCAATGTTGCGTAACGCACAAACATGCGGTTCAATTCTGGAAAAACTAAGCTAACACAATAAGTCAGGGACCTACCACCATTTTATTTGGTATTGTCGACTACGCAGATCTATTTTTGATAAGGTCGGATATCTGTTAAACTCATTGTTGTGCTAGACTCAAAGTATACCAAAGCTAAGGAAAGTACCATAGCTGAAGTAAAGACCAACGAAGGAGCTGGACAATTTATATCGAAATTAAGAACAACCGATCAAGTTTTTCCTCATCATCTTAAACCGGTTGCACAAAATCTACACAAACTTGACTGATACTCCGTTTTTTGCACGAATTTATAAAATGATAGAAGTAGAACTGAAAGATGTGCTGTCAAGCTCCGATCGAGAAGAAAATAAGACAACGATGGCATCGGTCATATTCAATAATTAAAACGATTAAAAAACACACCAAATTCTACTGGCGTAAACCTTAACTTTTTTTTAACTTTTACTTTAAATTGTATTAGACTTTACTTTTAAATTGTTTTAGAATTTATTCCAAATTAAGTTAAACAAGAACAATGACGTCAGCGCTAGCAGATAAATTCACTTTAGCGCCAGTACCATCTATTAGGGGCATATTTGTTATAAAACTGATTAAAAAAATTACGTTTTTTGATAGTCGTGGAGTTCGACACTATAGTGTTCTTCTTGTTAAGATTCTTGTTTCTATACATTTTCAATTTAAAATATAGTGATTTGAAATAACGTTCAAAGAGGAATGAAGAGAACCAAAGATAAAAACAAACTTTATACCCGTTACTCGTAGAGTAAAAGTTTAGTTGTTCATGAGAACTCCAGCGTTTGAATCTCTAGCTTAGTTCGTCCGTTTACTAAAAATATTCTAAGCATTCTGTGACATCATTTCGTGAACCACTGTACTTTGAAAATAAAGTTTTTTTGTGCTTAAATTTACTTTTCATTAGACTTTGAAAGGCGTATTGTATCCATAATATTAGTTTTCCGAAAAGCCAATGAAAAGCATTAACAAAAAACATTTTTATCCATGAAAATCAAATTTTGGTTTGGATACTAAAATACAGAGAAGTTTAATCATCAACACCAAGTATGTATATGGTGAATAATAATACTATTAACATCTCACAGCTTATTTGAACCAACCACTTCTTACTCCGATTTCTCGGAACTCGTTGAACGAATTACGGGAATTCCTTTTGCTACATATGTCTTCATTCGTGTTCGAAGGAATTTGTTTCCTAAATTTTAGCCATAATTCGACACTGTCGAAGAACGGGAGATATCCAGCAAATAAGCTTTATAGGTAACTCTTTGAACACGTCATGGGCTTTTGTATCTTTGAAACCCGTTGAGTTAAGAACCTTAGAATCAACACATATAAAAAGTGCAAAGGATCCCTATCAGTTTTATAAGTTTGTTAAACCCATCTTACTTTACGAATTACGGGTATACAAGGTATAAAATAAAACATCAAAATATATTGCAAAATTAAAATTTTCATATTTTTGATATAGAAATCTCGGGTAACAATTTTTGATGGTTCCCGTTCCATCATTTCGTTAACCACTTTACATTGAAAATAAAGTTTTTTCCGAGTCATTCTTTTTCTTTTCGTCAGACTTTCATAGGCGTATTAGTTAATTTTTGCGGAAAGCATTGACAGAAAAAAACCTTTTTTATAAAAAAAAATTTGGTTTCGATAAATAACTACAGTGACACACAGCTTATTTGACCCACACCTAATTTTTAACATTAAACAGCTATAACTCCTGAACCATAAGAGATACCCATAAAAATAAAACGCAGAAAGGTTAACTTTTGTTTTAACTTAAAAAATATGTTTTCATTTATTTATTATAGCAAGGAACTTCTTAATGAAACAATAAAAACAAAAAATACTGCCTTTTTCAACGTCACAGCTTATTTGACCCAGTTCATCAAATTAATTATAAACAAGAAAGGAAAGCTAACTTCGGGCGGAGCCGAAGTTGATATACCCTTGCAGAATATTCTGTATATTATATTCTCCAAAATTATTCATATGATGCATTCTTAATACTTATAAAATATCCCAACTTCCTAACTTTAAGAACACCAAAGTTATGGCATTTATGATCGTTCAGTTATATGGCAGCTATAGGATATAGTCGGCCGATCCTTATGAAATTTGATAGGTCGGATTGATTGACCAAATATAAAACCCATAGGAAATTCCAGCTTCCTAACTTTACAAACACCAAAATTATGGCATTTCCGATCAATCAGTTATATGGCAGCTATAGGATATAGTCGGCCGATCCCTGCGTGCAAAGGAAAGAAGGGTGTGTGCAAAGTTTGAACTCGATAGCTTTAAAACTGAGAGACTAGTTTGCGTAGAAACAGACAGACGGACAGACGGACATGGCTATATCATGGCAGATCAAGAATATATATACTTTATAGGGTCGGAGATGTCTCCTTCACTGCGTTGCACACTTTTGACCAAAATTATAATACCCTCTGCAAGGGTATAAAAATTGCTCATTGGACCCCAAAATATTACGTCATTTTCGCTGATGAGTAAAAATTTTATATTTTTGGGTCCGAAGGACGTTCTTACGTATTGCGTAAAGCCAATACAGAGCTGCAGGACAAACATCTAAAACCCACCGTTAAGCATGACGGCGTACACGTTATGGTTTGGGCCTGTAAGTCCGCAGCAGGAGTCGGTAACCTTAAATTTATTGAAAACACAATAGATAAAAATGTTTATCTCAATATCCTTAAGGATAATTTACTCCAAAGTGCTGAGAAATTGGGAAAAAAACAGGGTTCTACCAAGACAATGACCCAAAGCAAAAGTCGAGTATAGTTCAATATGGGCTGGGTTATAATTGCCCCCATATAATGAAATCGCCAGCTCAGTCACCCGATTTTAATGTTATTGAGAAATTTGTGGGCTTTGCTGGACTCAAAAATTCGGGAGCGCAATATTTCCAATAAAAATGACTTGAAGACGGCTTTGCTCTAAGAATGGGCTAAAATCACCCCAGAAACCACAAAAAAATTGGTCGAATCTATTCCCAATCGACTGAAGTCGGTTGTGGACCAAAAGAGCGGACATACCAAATACTAAAAGTTAAAAAAATATTTTTTTTGCAATTTTTTATAATTAATTTGATTAACTGGGTCAAATAAGCTGTGACGTTGAATAAGGCAGTATTTATAGTTTTTATTGTTTAATTAAGAAGTTCCTTGATATAATAAATAATTGAAAAAATATTTTTTAAGTTAAAACAACAGTTAACCTTTCTGCGTTTTATTTAATGGGTATCTCTTATGGTTCAGGAGTTTTACCTGTTTAATGTTGAAAAATAGGTGTGGGTCAAATAAGCTGTGAGCCACTGTATCTATACATATATATATGAAAAGAGGAGGCGACTGAGCGGTCGCGCATGCCAGACATGCCGTCTCAGCACTGTGCAGGCCCATAGAAGCGGGCGTTCCACAAGGTAGTGTGCTTGGCCCTACATTGTATACACTATTCTCTGACGACATGCCAAACCACTCGTCAATCACAGCACTTGCAGGAAGGGATACGCTGGTTGCAACCTACGCTGACGATACCGCGGTGCTCACCAGAAACAGCTCCATAGACCTGGCAAAAATAGGTCTCCAAGAATATCTAGATGCATTTCAGGAATGGGCTAGGATTTGGAACGTGTGCATCAATGCAGATAAATGCGCAAACGTGACCTTCGCAAATCGGGCGCTAAACTGCCCGAGTGTGACGCTTAATGGTAGAGTGTTAACTCACTCAACATCACACAAATATCTAGGAGTCATTCTAGACAGAAAGCTCAAACTCGAAAGCAATGTCAAGTCGCTGCTGCATTCTTATAGAACTAAGTTAAATCGCATGTCCTGGCTACTCTCCGCTAAAAACAAGCTTTCGCTGGACAACAAGGTTCGAATTTTCAAGTGCATTCCAGCTCCGAACTTTTTTTACGCAATACAGGTGTACGGTATCACAGCTAAAACCCACCTCAACAAAATACGGGTACTTCAAGCCAAGACGCTGAGGAGGATTTGAAATAACGTTCAAAGAGGAATGAAGAGAACCAAAGATAAAAACAAACTTTATACCCGTTACTCGTAGAGTAAAAGTTTAGTTGTTCATGAGAACTCCAGCGTTTGAATCTCTAGCTTAGTTCGTCCGTTTACTAAAAATATTCTAAGCATTCTGTGACATCATTTCGTGAACCACTGTACTTTGAAAATAAAGTTTTTTTTGTGCTTAAATTTACTTTTCATTAGACTTTGAAAGGCGTATTGTATCCATAATATTAGTTTTCCGAAAAGCCAATGAAAAGCATTAACAAAAAACATTTTTATCCATGAAAATCAAATTTTGGGTTGGATACTAAAATACAGAGAAGTTTAATCATCAACACCAAGTATGTATATGGTGAATAATAATACTATTAACATCTCACAGCTTATTTGAACCAACCACTTCTTACTCCGATTTCTCGGAACTCGTTGAACGAATTACGGGAATTCCTTTTGCTACATATGTCTTCATTCGTGTTCGAAGGAATTTGTTTCCTAAATTTTAGCCATAATTCGACACTGTCGAAGAACGGGAGATATCCAGCAAATAAGCTTTATAGGTAACTCTTTGAACACGTCATGGGCTTTTGTATCTTTGAAACCCGTTGAGTTAAGAACCTTAGAATCAACACATATAAAAAGTGCAAAGGATCCCTATCAGTTTTATAAGTTTGTTAAACCCATCTTACTTTACGA